TTCTTCAAAACCGCTTTAGACCGTACAGAGATTTGTTCAATCTGCAAACCAAGTTCTCTTTTCCTTTTTCTTCAAAACCTTTTGGTTGGAGCATGTAAATTTCTTCTTCAAGATCTCCATGAAGAAATGTTGTTTTCACATTTAGCTGCTCTAGATGTAAGTCAAATATAGAACTCATAACCAGGACTATTCGGACTGTTGTAAGTCGAACTATAGGAGAAAATATTTCATTAAAATCAATACATTCTTTCTGAGCATATCCTTTTACCACCAATCTAGCACGATATCACTCCACCTGATCATCGCCATTTCGCTTGATCTTGTAGACCCATTTGTTTCCAATAGTCTTTCTTCCTTGTGGTGGTGACACAAGTTCCCAAGTCTTGTTCTTATGGAGAGCTTCAATTTCTTCCTGCATTGCTGCCATCCACAAAGATGCATCTGTACCATTTATAGCTTCATGAAAAGTTGATGGCTCTCCATCTTTTGTTAGAAGACAGTATGCAACATTACTTTCCGTAATATACTCCGAGTGCCAAGTCGGTGGTCTTCTCTCACGAGTTGACCTTCGAGCTTCTGGAGCCTTGGACTCGACTGGTTCTTGTAGATCATGCTCCGGTGTTGCTTCAGAAGAATTTGGATTATCTTCTACCTGAACAGTTACAGTCTCTGAGTCCTTCCTCGAACTGCTTTTTTTTCTTCAATTTGTAGTTGATTTTCTACAAAGATAACATCTCTGCTGATGATAACCTTGCAGGCAGTGAGATCCCACAGGCGATACCCCTTTACTCCATCAGCATACCCCAAGAATATGCATTTTCTAGATTTTGAATCCAACTTTGTAATTTCTTGGGCATTGTACATTACGTACACTAGACTTCCAAATATATGGAGGTTGGAATAATCAGCTGGTTTGCCAGTCCACATCTCCATCGGCGTCTTCAATTGTATTGCAGTTGATGGAGATCGATTCACCACATAACAGGCGGTTTTTACTGCTTCCGCCCAAAACACTTTATCCAGATTTGCAGTTGCCAACATAGCTTTTGTTCTTTCCAACAGAGTTCAGTTCATCCGCTCTGCCACTCCATTTTGTTGATGAGTATAAGCTGTACTGAATTGTCTTTTGATGCCTTCATGCTTGCAGAATGCTAGGAATTCACCGTCTGTGTATTCTCCTCCATTATCTGACCTCAAGCACTTGATCTTCTTCTCAGATTCAAGCTCAACCCGCGCTTTGTAGGTTTTAAAGACTGAGAGCACATCCGCCTTCTTCTTGATAGGATACACCCAACATCTCCTGGAGTAATCATCAATAAAGGACACAAAGTACTTTGCTCCTCCTAAGGATGTAACTGGTGCTTGCCATACATCAGAATGAACCAGTTTCAGAATAGCATTGCTTCTAGAACTTGATGTGTTGAACTTTAGCCGATGCTGCTTATTAGTAACACAATGCTCGCAGAATGGAAGAGCTACCGAATTAAGTCCGGGAAGCAGTTTCTGATCGGAGAGAATCTTCAAGCCTCGTTCTGACATGTGGCCTAGTTTGCGATGCCACATCATGGTTTGTTCTTCTCCACGGCTGGTTGATGCCACACATGAATCAGCTTCCTGTATGGTTTCTCCCTTGAGCATGTACAGATTTGCAGCTATCTTTTCTCCTTTTATCACCACAAGCGCCCCTCTGACAATCTTCATGATCCCATTTTCGATATGGGTCTTGCACCCGAGCTCATCTAATTGTCCCAAAGACAATAGATTCTTCTTCAAGCCCTTCACATATCACACATCTTGAATGGTGCGTATAGTACCATCAAACATTTTGATTTTGATAGTGCCAATACCAGAAATATCCAAGGCATGATCATTCCCCATGAATACAGATCCTCCTGAGATAGGTTCATATTTGTGAAACCATTCTCTCCGAGAGGTCATGTGCTAAGAGGCTGCTGAATCTAGAAGCCAGACATCAGTAAACTTCTTTCTGCCTTCATCAACAGTGGTTGCTCCACTGAATAGAATTTCACCATCATCTGACGTGCTGACAACGCATCCTTGAGATGTTGATGGCTCTGAAGTCTTTTTATCTCCACTCTTCTTGTTGTGCCAACACTCCGATTTGACGTGCCCTCTTTTGCCACAGTTGTAGCATTTGATATTCTTCTTACTTCGTGATTTCGATCTACCATGGGCATGACTCCCACTGGAGCCACGTTCTGTTGATCTTCCTCTCGTCACCGACAAGGCCTCCGCTTGCTGCGAACTTGTCTGCCTGTCTTCCTTGTTCTTGCGCCGATTTTCTTCCTCCAGAACAGCGGCTGCAACATCGTCGAAAACTAGATAGTCCGTGAGGACGTTGTTTGTCAAGTTGATGATGAGTTGATCATACGAGTCTGGTAGACTCTGAAGTAGAAGTTCTGCACGTTCATTCGCACCAACTGTATACCCCAACGTTGTGAATGCGAACTTGACTGCCTGTCTTCCTTGTTCTTGCGCCGATTTTCTTCCTCCAGAACAGCGGCTGCAACATCGTCGAAAACTAGATAGTCCATGAGGACGTTGTTTGTCAAGTTGATGATGAGTTGATCATACGAGTCAGGTAGACTCTGAAGTAGAAGTTCTGCACGTTCATTCGCACCAACTGTATACCCCAACGTTGTGAGTTGGGAGAACAGTGTGTTTAGGATGTTGATGTGGTCGGTCATCGATGTAGATTCCACCATCCTAAGAGTGTAAAGTCTCCTTTTTAAGAAGATTTTATTATGCATGGATTTCGCCTCTTATAGCTTTGTTAGAGTATCCCAGATGTCCTTTGCTGTCTTCTTCTCCTCTATGCTTGACAGCACCCCGTCTGCTAATGCCAGATGGAGATTTGCAATAGCATTTTCATCCATCTCGTTCTACTTCTTATCATATGTGATGTCGTCCGGACTTGCTCTGATAGCCGCCAGACAATTATCTTTTCTCAAGATAGCATTTATCTTCAACTTCCACAGTAAGAAATTACTCCCGTTGAATTTCTCGATCTTAAACTTTGCCGCCATTGCTTCTACCACAAACAGTAACTTCTTACTATCTCACGTAAACAGTAACCATATTCGCAAACAGTAACCGTATTCGTGAATAGTATCGTACTTTTGAAAAGTACCGTATTTATGAACAGCACCGTACTCGTGAATAGTACCCGTCATCTTCAAATGGTAAATGATAACCTAACTTATTTTCTGATGTGGAGGATCCACCTTTGGTAACAGCCACAGAGCATACGATAAGTAGATATATACAAGCACCCTAAGTTGGCTCTGATACCACTTGTTGGGACAAACTCGGGGCCTAATAGAGCAGGATCGCAGCAATAGTAGAGCAAAAGTAGAGATAAAAAGTTGGACATACAGATTTACGTGGTTCGGCACTTGATTGCCTACGTCCACGGGCAATGATAGAAGAATCCACTATGAGGAGAAAACTCTGGAGTTACAAACTCTCTCTCTTTACAAGGAGAAATTCTCTCTGTTTTTTCTCTCTCACTCTTCTATATAAGAAGTTATTTCTGGGATGAATTTTTCCTTAAGGATTTGGAGCATATTTATAAGATTTGGAAAAACACTATGTATAATATAATAATAATAAATTACTATACTGTGGGGCCCACTATTTTGTTTTCTTTTTCAATTGTCAAAAGGTGGGTGCTCTTGTGAAAAATGTGCGGCTGTGCTTTCGGTGATGGTAGGCGCCTGACAGTTCTTACCTCGTTGTAGGGAACCGTGGAGGATAAAGCCAACGCCATGACACAATAAAGGGAGGAAACGATGAGGACAGATCCAGCAATGCCAATGGGAAGACTCTTCGATGGGCTCCTTATCTCTTCGGCCACTGTTGACACCGAGTCATAGCCAATATAGCTGACGTATACTATCGTTGCTCCATCGAGAACGCCTCTCAAGCCGAAAGGATAAAGCCAATATAGCTGAAGTATACTATCGATGAAGTATACTATCTTGCTATATTTTCCCTCTTATTTACTCCTTTTTGTCATATTTAAATTTCATCATCATGATCATCATCGTAATCAATCCTCAAGGGGACGCGGCGACTAGGGAATTCGTTGTCAATAGGGTATGCAAGGGCCAATGTCTAGAGGCTTCACTCGTGTTAGTCATGTTGTTTAATGTCGTGACATGATGAGGGTTGATAGGGGGCCAACTAATCCACTAAAACAATACATTCTTCTTCATCTTTAAAAATGCATTGAGAGAAAAGACAGAAGGGTGGGGGGGTGGAGGGGGCGCGCGTCGCCCCCGCGCCGCGCGCCGGGGGGGGGGGTTGATTTTTACCTCACTGTGACATAGCCGTGTTGTCTCTAAGAAAAGAAGCATATATAGCTAATGACGATGAGTGGAGCTACTGAGACAAGGGTCTATGATTGATTCAGTTTCTTCAATGTTGCGTAGAGACAAAAGAGCATAAGATTTGGGCTTGATTTGTGCATGAGAGCTAGTATTTTGCGTGTGAGTTTCTATTTTGCTATTCTTGGTGATGTCAAATTGTATCATCCTTGCACCTTATATTGATGTTGGAAACAGTTGGAAGTTGAAGGATGGAGTTAATTTGAAATGATAATGGGATTGCATTAAGCTCTACTCCACCATATATTGGGAGTTTGTCAAATTGAAAACTTGTTACATCGTGGTTTTGCACTCTAATATAAGCATGTAAATGAAGCAAAAGGAACTTTTGATTTCCTTTTTTTTAACCATTTTATCACTTGATACATTATTTAGGCGCAATCAAGAAATGAGACATAAGTATAATGATCACTTTTATGACATGTATACAAGTGATAAAAATAGCCAATGCTTTGAAGAGAAAAAGATGAATACATATATATTTTTTTTACAAAACAAAAATGCAGCTTTTTACAACATATTTCAGAAAATGAACAAACAAGCACCAATCTGTTATGAATAATTGTGACAATAAATGATGTGTGTGTGTGTGTGATAAGTGGTTCAGTTCATTGAAATTGAGGTACACAAGAAGAAAAGTAGATTTGATACGCCCATATCATCCCAAGACATTAGTACATGAATAAGCACCACATATTTCAAAATGAATGCATCAAAATCTGTATTATTGCCACAGAAAGATATGGAAGATATGCCAAGGTTATTAGAGTATGAGTAAGAAATGCATTTAGAAATGCATCATAATCAAGTATACACTAAATAAAAAGAACAAAATTCTCAATAAAATGAAAAATTTGTACCTTTGAGATGAGACAAGCACTCCTTACTTGAATTAGCTAAGAATCCATCAAAATCACCAAACCCTAATGCATTCATAAGAAATCATCAAAAAATTAGAAATATTAACACAATATAAAATTTCTTGGCTTGCTCAAATAATCGATCGTCTTTCCGTAAGAAACACTTACACCCAACTCTATAACTGAGGCATGACCAAATCCTCTCCTTTGTCCAATATGTTTGAAGTTGATAACATGATGGACATGAGTAATCATCTATCATCATTCCCGCTTGAGAAGCTTGAATGCTTAAACAATGTAGAACTCATTGAAATTGACATTTTCAATGCGAAATCTATTATCATTCAACAACGTCAACATAGAAAAGTTAAAATAGTAACACTTCTCTTACCAAATTTAAATTTTTTGAGTTTGGGACAAGTGAAGAGTAATTAGGGCTTTGGTCTAGTTCGGGTTAAATAGCACGGGGACGAAATCATGGGATAAGGGAGCAACTATTTCCCAGAGATGTGAAGACTTGAGGATTGTATTAGATTGGCGGTAAACTTGAGAGCACTTGATATATATGAGAATAAGGTTATAATTAAGAAACTAGTTTCTCCGATGTGTAACTGGAGAGAACAGGATCCAAATCCATGAATAAGAGCTAGTAATGAATCCAATTAGATATTGAACTTTGCAACTAACTTATAGCAATTAAAATATTAGTGGATGTTGGGAGGATCCTGTTCTCTCCAGTTACACAGCCGAGAAACTAGTTTCTTAATTATAACCTTATTCTCATATATATCAAGTGCATCTTCGAGTTTTCTACAGTCAACTTCATGCTATTACCATGCCTCAAGCATTATATATTCGTTCATGCATATAGTTAATATTATAAAATCCTAATATAGCTGTAATTGATTTTTCTTTTACAACTAATTAATGTTCCTATGGTCATGTTTGCCAGTCAAAATAGTATGCCAAAATAACTTAAAAATTAGTGATAGTATGACTCAACTAAAACCAGACAAGATTTAGGACATGCATCAAAATATGTCTGACCGTGATTAAAAACAGTAATAATAGATAAATTGCCTTGCTACATGTTCACATGAATACATGCAAGCCCAAATAGTAATAGGTGGTTAATTTCTTAAAAATCATAACAGATGAATATGCTATACTAATGAACTCAGTGATAAAATCATGACCATATAATATTCAGATCAATCATGGTAATATATACTAAAATCAAGAATATATTTATGTATGTCAGAAAGAAATTCACTACATACCTACACATTGTTGGTTGTCTTTTGGAGTTGGAGAATCTGAAGTCACCATGTTAGTGCTAGAATTTCTTCTATACAATCCTTGAGCCCTTGACAGGGTTTTAGTTCCCAAAACCTGGAAAAAGAAAATAAACAAGTTATGTAACATGAATCCAACATTAACACAATATAAACCCTAGATCAGATCTAGGGTTTCGACTGTAGGGGGAGAGGCCGGGGGTAGGGGGAGAGAGAGAGATCGAAACCAGAGAGAGGGGATCGCGACTTGAAAAGAAAGAGAGGATCGGGTTGGGATTTGATAAATGATAAAGGGTAGGGTGGAATTTGAAATCACTTGTTTTGGGCTTTTAAATTCCTCTTTGTTAAATCAATTGATTCAAAATCTAGGCCCAAATCAGAACCCAAACTAGATATTTGAATTTTAAATACCCTGGATTTTAAATCCAGGCCCAAATCCAAGTTCCCAAACACACCCTAATATTATTCACTCATTTTCTCTCACTAATTTTCTCCGCTCTCTCTTTCTTTTCCCCCAAAACCAAAAAAAGCCCTAATTTGGTCAGCAATGGCGAGACCCTCGAATTTGTTGGAGTTCTCATCGGAGGATCCGTTAAACAATAGATCGGTCTCTGACATTGAAGGCGAAGAGGTGGCGAAGAACGTGACAGAGGAGGCGGTGCCGGAGGAGGACGAAGAGAAGCTAGAGGTTGTCACAAGTTCTACCAGACCTTTAAGCTATCGATTTTTTAAAGAAATTTGTAATTTCTGTTTGAACATCTTGGAAAGATGAAAATTTAAAGAAATACCGATTAAATGTGATTTTTGTTTGACAATTTTTGATGTTAAGTTCAAGCCCAAGGTTTGAATATTAAGTGTAATGAGTTGGAAGTGAAGTCGAAGGGCTTGTATGTTAAGTCTATTGGGTTGAATAATAAGTCTAAGAATTTGTATGTTAAATTTATTGGGTTGGAAGTCTAATTTATTGAATATTAAGTGTAATGGATTATATGTTAAGTCTAATTTGTTAAATGTTTAAGTGTAATTTGTTACATGTTAAGTCTAACGCGTTGTATGTTAAGTCTAATAGGCATGATGTTAATTCTAATTGATTGAATGTTAAGTCTATAAAGTTGAAATTGAAATCCAAGGGCTTATATGTTAAGTCTATTGGGTTGATAACAAGTCTAAAGGTAGTATGTTAAGTCTAATGTGTTGTATGTTAAGTCTAATTGGCGTGATGTTAATTCTAATTAATTGAATGTTAAGTCTATAAAGTTGAATATAATATCTTAGACTTAACATACAATAAATTACATTTAACATTTAACAAATTAGGCTTAACATATAATCTATTACACTTAACATTCCACATTTAGACTTATTATTCAATCCAGTAGACTTAACATACAATGCTCTTGGACTTCATTCCCAACTCATTAGACTTAACAGCGAACCCATTTGAGTTAACAAACGAGACTTAAAATTCAATAGATTTGACTTGACAATCTTTCGAGACTTAACATTCAACTTATTAGACTTGATATTTCTCTAATTAGAATTCACATTCAACAGATTAGACTTGATATTCCTCTCAATTAGAATTAACATCAGATAGTTTAGACTAAATATTATTTTCATTACAAATAATATACTTTTCTTTAGATAAAAATAGCTACCAGTTAGGCTTAACATTTAACTGACTAGACTTAATATTCAACTCTATGAACTTAACATCGAACAGTTTAGACTTAATATTTTTTTTCATTACAAATAACTGTAGGCATATAAAATTGCTTATAGGTCCCCTAGCATAGCTCGGCACAAACCGACGAACCAACGAGGCGACGAGATCGACGAATCGCACAGAAGCGACGGAATGCATCCACCCGCGTGCAGAATCAAGCTAATGAGTTGAGGAATCAACGAGTCATCCAACCGAGAGCGGACTCGGAGGAATCACGATCGAATCAAGATCAATTTCGGACTCGAACTCAGAAGCGGATTTACTGCCAAATCAGGAATCCAACTTACTGCCAAATCAGATCAACCAATCAGAGTCTCAATCAACCGAATCACGGACAGAACCGGAAACAACGGAAAACGACTCGAAAAAGTCGGAAAACACCGCCCGCGGGGGCTCGGCCAAAGCCAAGCCACCTCAAGGTGGCTCGGCCAATGCCGAGCCACCTTGGGGTGGCTCGGCCAAAAAGACCGGATCTTTGTAACCCAAGATGACAATCATATCAATGAAAAAGAAAACAGTTTTCCACGCGAACAATCTGGCGACCACAGTGGGAGCCGACGATCTCGCCAACGAGATCGATGCGTCGCAGCCGCGGATTGCAATCCCGGTCGTGGAGGAGGTCGAGTACGAGTTCGACCAAGCCAAGTTCGAGGAGTACGTGTCCTCGTCCGGCTCTATCTCCCCCCGCAAGTCCAAGAAGTTCTCCTCCGGGAGAAAAGCTCGTTGGTTTGAAGCTGCTCGGGAAGCCCACGAAGCTCTCAACCCAACTGACGCCGAAGTTGCGTCAAATGAAGTTCCACCGACCTCCAATCAGGTCAACCCAACTCCCGCCAACGCCTCTACTGTTCAGGGCGTTGTGACTCTCTCAAAGAGAGCCCGCCAGAGGCGTCGTCAACGCCTTGCGCGGCAATTCGCTAAGGCGATGGAGTCTACGGACGGATTCCGCTACCACGCGGAGTTGAAGAACAGAAGAGGCAAACAGCCTCAACCACCAATGAATGGCGACTCTTCCAAGCCGCCAAAGAAAGAATGGGTCCGCGTCAAACGGAACCGTTCGACACTCGAGGAGCGCATTCGCAAGCGCCGCGCGATGTCAGCGCAGGCACGGGCTCAAGCTCAGGAAGCCCGTAGAAAGCTGCAAAAGGAGGTGGAGAAGAAGCCACCACCAACACGACAAGTCTGGAAGCCTAAGTCTGAAGTGGCGACTCAGGCCAAAAAGCAACCAGTGCAGCCTTCTAAGGAAGGTCAAACTCCGGCGAGTCAACCAAAGTCGCCGTCAATCCCAATAACTTCTCCGGGAGATCATGCAGAGTCATCCCGCAAGAAGAAACCAATTTTGGAGCGCCTCGGTCCAATTCCTGACGTGAGAGGCAAAGCTCCAATTCACGAGCGTTTGGGCCCGATGAAGAAGCCCAGAACGACTCAACATACTGGGGGTCGCCATCACCTCCAGCATGACAAAGACCTCAAGGCAGCTGCGCGCACCAATTTGCGCATTGAAGTCCAAGATCACGCCGAAAATTCACGCCCAAAAAGGCATGTTTTGAGGCGGGTAACCTTTGAAAGCCCAAAGAAGGCAAGTCAACCTCAGATGGAAACATTATCATCTGATAATGATTGTGTTGTACCTGAGAAGGCGTGCCCGCACACGATAGGTTACTCTGACTGTCAAAATGACGAGTTGTACTATCGTGCTGGGGGTACGAATAGAACCAGGAAGAGGAGTCCCCGAGAACGGGAAATTCAATGTCCCTGTTCCAAACTCATTCGGGCGGTATTGTCGGAATGCAATTGCATTAAGGCGGTCCCCGAAAGAGTTTCAGTTTTTGAAAGACTTAATGCGGAAACGCCAAAACCAAGGCCTAGGCGCTTCCAACGAAGAAGAAGGGTGATTGAAGACGGAGAATTTCCGAGGGTCACCACCAACATGACGAGCAAAGGGACATCGGCACGAGAAGATTTCGAGTCGATTCTGAAAGCTTCCCGACCTAGAACCCGTCTGCAGTCCGGAACCATAGAGCGAGCAACTTATGGTAGGATTCGGACAAGACGCCCTTCAGAAGATGAAGAATCTGATGCCGGCTCCGCGGTGGCATCAGATAATACAGTATCCAGCGAGGGACAACCCCGCGAGGCCCTGATGATAAGTGCGGAGCAGATGGCCAAGATGCTTGAAGACGCTTTGGCTAAGCAGAAAGAAAGTTTCAAATTTGAGATGGAGATGGCCATGCAGCAGATGAGAGAAATGCATGACCAACAGATCCAAGCATTGGCGAACCAACAAGGCGAGCAGAATCATCGTAACCCGATTAATGTGGAAGATGAGGATACAAATGCTCGTAACACCAATGATCCTCCCGTCAACGCAGGGGGTGGTAATGAGAATGCTGGCGAAGAAACCGGCGAAAACCTGAAGATCAAGAACCTCGAGAGCAAAATCAACACACTAATTTCCGCTCAAGAGACGAAGAAAACAGGCATTCCTTGCCCATACCCAAGAGAATGGGAATCGATCCCATATCCGGCGAAGTTTAATCTAATTAACTTCACGCCGTTTAATGGGATGGGTTCACCTACCCAGCATTTGATTTACTTCAAATCGCATTTGGGGGTGATCTCTGGTAATGAGCCTCTGATGGTGCGGTCATTCGTCGGCACTCTTCGCGGAGCCGCCTTCGATTGGTATCGCCGCCTCAAGCCAGGCAGCGTAAACAGCTGGGATGACATGGAGACCAAGTTCCTGGCCAACTTCTTCGACGACGACACCGAGATATCTATCGGATCGTTGCTCGATGAGAAGCAGAAGGACGGAGAGTTAGTCGATACCTTCGTCAAAAGATTCCGGAACAAGGCGATGAATTGCCGGGACCCGATCACCGAGGAATTCATCCTCCAGACCTGCCACAACAACCTCGCGTTGGACGTGCTAGAAGCAATGGGGACAGCACCATCCAATACATGGAAGGACTTGAAAGTCCGGGGAGAGCAAGCTGAGCGATTCCTCAAGAGGAAGAAGGCGGAAAGAGGCCAACCGGCGACGAGTGTTCCAAAGCAAAACTTCGTCCCACGGGGGAAAGGTAAGGCACAAGCTAATGCAGTTGATGCTAATCAAACCTTTCAATTGCAACCACAGCAACAGCAGCCACAGCAACAAGCACCCCAACAATCTCGAGGACAATGGCAACAACGGCCTCAGAAGCAGAAATCTGCGGAGCCGAGGTTTCCTAAAGTGTACTCCTTCAAGGATGATGAAGTTCCCGGCATCTTCAAATACCTGTTGGAGAACAACAAGATCCAGTTGCCGGCGATCGTGGATCAAGAAGGGGCCAGCAAAGTGACGGATCCAAAGTACTGCGCGTACCACAGAG